TATTAATTCAAGATAGACTATAATAAAAAAGATTATTTTGTAATATCTAGGGTAGACATTAAAAGAATAAATTTTAAAAATAAATTAAAATGTATAATTAAAAGTCTATTATAAGTGAAAAAATAGAATAAAAATTTTTCATCAATTCAAAAGAAGGCAACAAAGAAAAATTTTAAAAATAATAAAAGGATCAAATAGAAAAAAAAAGCAGTGTAGTAAACTTAAACCTAGTTTATATTAAATATAAGTGGACAAAACAGTTGAATAAAAATGGTTATCACTGGATAAAAATATAAGGTCTAGCCCTATTTTTACAAGAAACACTTAAATATTTAAATTTATATTTAAATATATTTAATATAAGGAAACCAGAAGGTTAAAATTAAGAAGATGGGGAAAATATGCCATGCAAACCAAAACCAAAGGAAAGCTGGTGAAGCAATATTTATACCAAATATATTAGACTTTATAGCCAAAAAAATATTACTAGAGATAAATAAAATCACTTAATAATAATTAAAGGATCAATTCACAGAAAATAAAATAGTCCCAAATTTACATTCACCAAATGAAATACTTTAAGATACATAAAACAAAAGTTGACAGACGTGCAAGGAAATATAGGATGTCTCAAAAAAATGTATAGACACTTTGAATGATTATAAAGTCAGTGTTAATTAACATACAGTTCATTTTCAAAACGTAAAAGAATCTACAGATATAAATAATTTTTTTTGTCAACACCTGTTTTCAAATGTATGACCATTCTGGTCCAAGCATTGCTGATAACGGGAAACAATGGAATCGCAAATATCAAGAATCATTTCATTCGGTATTTGTGTGCCCTCAATTCGTCAACTGTTGCTGGTTTTGTACTATAAACTTTATCTTTCATCTATCCTATAAAAAAGTCTAGTGGATAAGTTTTTGTTCAAAGCTTAGTCTGACTGAAAAGAAAGAAACATCAATTGAGCTATCAGCTGTTAAAGTGTCTATACATGTTTTGGGGACACCCTATAGATATACAACCACTGTTAGAGACCTTTCTCATTAACTGATAGAATAAGCAGATTAAAGAATAAATCTACATGGATTTAGAAAATATTAATAACACAATTAACTAACCTAACTTAATTGATATGTGCAGAAGAGCATATCCAACAACAGCAGAATATACATTTTTCCTAAAACATTGGCCTACCATGTCATTTACTGAGCCATTTAATAAATTTCAAAGAACCAAAATGATACAGAATATAAGTTTATAAGGTTGAAGAACAAAACAGAAATCAAAAATTAGAAAGATAAATTGAATAGCCCCACTTAGAAATTAAGCAACACACTCCTAAATAATATGTGGGTCAAAGAAAAAAAAAATCACAATAGAAATTTGAAAATACTTTTAATTGAATAACACTTAAAATAGGACATTGTCAAAAAAAAAAATTTGGACATTGTAAAACTTGTGGGATGTAACTTAAGGCTGTGGTTAGAGAGAATTTCAAGACTTTCCGGGCATATATTAGAAAAGAAGCAAGGTTTTAAATCAATGATATAAATTTTTTTCCTGAATCAACTTTAAAAAGAACAGCAACAAAGCGAAATAAGCCAGTCAGAGAAAGACAAGTATCACATGATCTTACTCATATGTGGAATCTAATGAACAAAATAAACCGATGAACAAAATAGATCCAGAGACATAGAGGCATGAAACAGACTGAGGAATCTCAGAGGGAAGGCAGGGGTGGGGGTGGGGGGAGATTAACCTAAGAACGTATATGCATATATGCATAACCCATGGAAACAGTGTGGTGAAGGCCTGGAGGGGGGGTGCAGCATGGAGGGGATCAAGGGGGGGAAAAAGGGTACATTTGTAATACTTTCAACAATAAAGATAAACTTTAAAAAACACACACAGCAATAAAACCCAAAAGACTATAAAAAAGGAAATTGTCAAACTAAAAGTGGAAATCAATAAAGCAGAAACAGATATACAATAGGAGAAAAAACAACAATCAGAGATTGATTCTTTGAAAAGGTAAATAAATTGATAAACTTTTAGCAAGATAAAAGTAGAAAACACAAATGACAAAGGGGAATTGCTACAGATATTACAGGTATGGAGAAGAAAATTTGAAAGGCATTATTGAACAACTTCATGCTAATTGATTTGAAAATGTTGATAAAAAGGGCACATTCCTTGAAAAATACATCTTACCAAAACTAACCTAAGAAAAAAAAATAGAAAATCTGAATAGTCTAATTACTTTTAAAAAGATCAAATCCAGAATTCAAAACCTTCTCACATGTCCCCTTTCCCTCCCAAACCCAACCTCAACCCAGCCTCCCCAAAAACCAACTATAGGCCCAGATGATTTCACTAGTGAAATTCTAACAAAGATTTAAAATAGAATACCAATTTTATACAAACCCTTTTGGAGAATAGAATTGGACTGAGTAACCTTGATAGCAAAACCCAAAAGACATTATAAAAAGGAAAAATTACATTAAACATGTCTTGTTAACATAGAAAAAATATCCAAAATAAAACACTGGCAAATTTAATCCAGCAATATATTAAAACGTTAATACAAACTCCAGGAAGAAAGCATCTAATTGTGAGACTGGGAAAGCCAGGGATCTTGACTAAAAATCTCACTACAATATTCTCACATAAGGAAATATAAGACATTCTTGATAGCATAAGGAATAATGGATGCTGAATTGCAAAAATAAAACCATGTATAATGGAAGGTTATATAGATAGATGGTGAGTGCTCTATACATCAATCCATTCACTTGCTCTAGGAATGGAAGTATACTCTGTACATAGAGATGAGCAGTTACAGAGAAGAGAGCTGAGAGCAAATTTTCCAATCAACTAACAGAAACAAAAATGGGATCCCACTTTCTAATACCAGGTTCTCAAACAGAGGAAGTAAGATATGAACTATGAAAAACCACATCAGCCCAGCCAGGCGTGGCTCAGCAGTTGAGCCTCGACCTAGGATCCAGGAGATTGCGGTTCAATTCCCAGTCAGGGCACATGCCCCGGTTTCGGGCTAGATCCCCAGTAGGCGGCATGCAGGAGGCAGCCGATCAATGATGGCTCTCTCATCATGGATGTTTCTCTCTCTCCCTCTCCCTTCAAAAAAAAAAAGAAAAACCGCATCGGTTTTCTCTACCCATGTCAGTGCTCTATACATCTATTGCCTAGGACAACTTTTTCCACCAGAAGCTTCATGCTTTAGCTCTAATTTATCTGGAAAGACTAATATAACTCAGAAAAATAGGTAATCATAAGTTGATTATGCATTCTTTGTAGTTTGTAAATTTACAGTTTACAGCTGACACCTAAATCCCAAGAAATAAATCTTCTACCTTCCTGGACCAACCAAGAAACAAAGAAACAAAAAATTTTTATTAATAGGCTACAAAGTCAAATTTGAATTTTTTAAGTGGTATTCTTAAAATTAATGAACTTACAAAAACCAGGAGTTAAGAGGAAAGCTGTCAATTAAGTGCTCTTTATATTTTACAAATTCTGTCCAGTTCTGACACCTGTCCAGTTTAAGGTTCACTGCTCAAGGGGTTTCTGAACAAGTTTTAATAATTTTCTAGGTGTTTTCTGCTAAATTTCAACACTGACTGAGAGGCAAAGTGGCAGGTTCAAACCCCAAAATGCAGATTCTGTGAAGTGATAGCAATTTCACATTATTAAAGATTAAGACAAAACAAACATGAAGCATGAAAAAGCATTCTACAGAATGGCAGGCAAAGAAAGTTACGATTTCTAAGTTTTTAAAAATAAGTTTACTGCATGTATACCTAATGTGCTGGCAATTAATAAGTAAGAAAGGGATGTCTGGGGAGAGCCAAATAAAATCATGTAGGAAACATGAGTATATAAACCCACATATCTTGGTACAAAAGCCAACAGACCCAATCATTAGTTTAACCTAGGTCAGCATCACCTGATAACTAGAATAACACTCTGTATCCCTGTTAATTTCACTCCAGTCAGGCCCATGCCCTGAATCTATTTGAAAATCTAAATATTCCTCAAACATTTTTCGTTGTGTCATTCCTCAGCTGAAACTATGGCTCCCTATTATCTATCAACCGAGTCTAAACTAAACGCTGGTTGTTCAGGACCACCACGAGTTGACCTAATCTAATCTATTCAACATTACTTCTGGAGATGAGAATGGTGAGTTAATTATGGCTACAAATTCTCTGCAGTTGCTCCCTTCATTTTCTGAATGTGGAGCGTCCCTTTGACTTGCACAGACTAACAGAATGCGGCAGAGGTGACACTGTATGATTTATGATGCTTGGCCTCAAGAGGACTTGCAGTTCCTGCTCCTGCCCTCTTAGAACACTACTAGGTAAGAAACCTGGGCTATACTGCTAGAGAAGCCACATGGAAAGGAACCAGCTGATGGCCCCAGCTAATTACCAAACCTGTGAACAGGGTCATCTGGACTGCCTTCTAACAGATACATGTCACACTTTTCAGTAGACTGGAAGTAACAATGACAATAATTCTCCGGATTCCAGATCCAGTTATTTTATTTAAGGATAAATGTTTTTGTTTCTTTATTTTAATGTTATAGTTTAGAGTAACTCAGCCTCTCAATGATAATGTTTTTGTTATAGTCCATATGATAAAAAATTTAATATATGCTAATTTAAATCATATAAAGTTTACATTTAATTTATCAAAATTGTCAAAATGTTGAAGATAATTATAAATAAAATATAAGTACATAAATTAAAAGGCATAGCTTTTCTATATTAAAATTCATATGTAAAATAAGATTTGAGAAATTCTCTGTTAAATATACAGATATTGGTATAAAAAGTACCTTAAGATATTTAAATTTTTGCAAAACTAGCTTATAGAAATCATTAAGTACTTTTTAATAGCTGAATGAAGCCCTGCACCTAAAAACAAAGTACAATATCTCATCACTCTTCCTTCAGTTTTTAGAACCTACCGGAGAGATTCAGCCATTCGCCTCAAATCTTCATTTTGCTGTTTTAAGCGTTCAAGCTTTGCCAGGATCTTGGACAGTTCTCGGCTAGAGTGATCAGGGTGGTCATTATCTCGTACCAAATGACCACCTATATAAAACAGCAAGGTCCCCCAGGCAAAAAGAATGAGCATAATCCAACGCCAGGAACCAGTCCATGACCGCATTTTCAGATTTTCAACTCACTCCCCTGGCTTTCTGGAGCTCAAAGAATTGCAAACATCTTAACTCTGTTTCCTGTTAGTGCAAAGGTAGTAGGCTTCTGTTGTTTCAACGCATGATGATTTAGATAAATTAGTGTCTCTGGTAGTCAGTCCCGTGGTGAAGCTTTCAACGAGATTCTCCTAGTGGAATGAGTAGGAAGCTTTATTGTCCTGTGCTTCATGGACTCTACACGCTGTGGAAAGAGTAAGATATGTATTTATTTAGGACATATAAAAATAGCATATGCTGAGATTCATGGAGTTAAAGGAGGCACATTGGTGTTGACTGGCCAACAGGCTGGCAAATAACTTAAGTGCCAGTAATAAGTAGTAAAAAACAAAAGCTGTTAAGTCTGTATATTAAATCAACCACGTACATCAGGGTTCTACCAGATAAATTAATTAGCTATAAGCCTGAAAGTCCTCTAAGCTCCATCATCACCTTTCTTTCTTATAAGTTCCATTATCAACTTTCTTTCTTATTTACATCATTGTGCAACAGGTCATATATGAAGATTAAAAGACTGTATCTTTGAATAACCAATGAAACCAAACAAAATGTATTCAACCACATAATTTGAGCTAATCTTTCCATGATCTCAAAAAATCTTTCTATTTTCTATTTATAAGTGAATTCATTCCTACCAGATCTCAACTTCATTCCCCTCCATCTCCCTGCTCTGCTGCCATTATACCACTTAGCTTTGCAGGTGACAGGCAAATTGTCACTTTTAGGATAAATTCTAAAAATTAGCCAAGCAGAGGTTATCATAGCTATCACAAGGAAAAGTTCCTATGGATTAAGGCTAGATTATTTCTTCCTCAAATTTATTTAAAAATACCAACAATTGCAATAGAAGTCTAATATCAGTTAAATCTTAGTTACTGTGCATCTTAAACGACAAATGCACATACTCTCTCAAGCCTGGTTATGGGGTTCATTTGTCATTTCTCCACAATTAAGCTTAGAATTACCTTTGGAAACAAAACAATTTTCTCTCCAAAGAGAAAATTTGCAAGCAAAGATATAATATTAACACCATCTGACACTTCCAAGGCTTCATAAACAAAGTCTTATCTCTAGGCACAGAGTTCCCTGTAAAAGAAAAGAGAAAAGAAATAGTTTCTATATACAAGACTGAATATGATGGAAACTTTACCACTAATTAAACAGTTATTAAAGACTAGATAGAAAAGTCAGAGAAGAGGCTTGGAAAATTAGAGCACAGAGCTTCTATTTTTCTACTTTTGAACCTCAAATCTCAATAGATTTTAAATGACTAAGTATTTAAAGAGAAGAAAATCTCTTCAAATGAGGTCCTAGAAATGTTCTACTTCCTTCTCAACCTTGCTCCTCTAATGATAGGTACCCCCATCTATTTAATAAAACGTAAGAATAATTAAAGTCTATTCAATGTCTCAGGTAAAAGTTCCAGTTATGTGAGGTCTACTTTTCATGATATAGAAAAAAATGCAGACATTCAGGGCTTCCTAGTTAAAGACAGACTGAAAAAATGAATCCACTCTGATGGCCTATGCAGGGACAGGGAACCTTTTTTCTGCCAAGGGCCATTTGGATCTTCATAACATCATTCACAGGCCACACAAAATTATCAACTTAAAAATTAGCTATGAAAAAAGCTCCTAGATTTATTGAATTTCTAGTCCCACCTGTGGTTGCCTTAGCAGGACCAGACCAAATTATTTTGAGGGCCATATACGGCCCACTGGCTGGATGTTCCCCTCCCCTGACCTAAGGGATTTATTTAATTAAGTCAACAGAAAAGGTTAAGTATTAACATTTGAGTTAATAATGTTTGTGACAACATATCTAACACTATAAAATCCTATCATACCATATGCTGAAAATATACCCTAGCTAATTCCAAGCTATACTAAGAAGATATTTAAAAATTTTTTATCTTTCACTTCATAGTAAAAGTTAACTTAGGAAGATAACTGATGAAAGAAAGTAAAGAGCTTTCCAAACAAGAATCATTTAAATAATAAAATGATGTGCTGTAACATTTTACCTAGAATTACAACAGAAAATTATCATAAATATTCAAAGGCTGCAAAAGTGTAATATAAATCGAATAGAAACAAAAGTTTACAGAAACATAAATTTTATTACACAAAGTACTGTAGGTTTTTATAAACTGCCATCAAAAAGCCAAAATATTAAATTATTACATTTTACAGCACTAATGCTGTTACAGGAGTTGTAAAAAGCAAGAAATTATTGTAGGGGGAAAAAATGGTCATTTTCTTAATTAATAGCATCATTCTAACTCTGTTTTTGGAGAGAATGTTTCCCTAAATCTTATTGTTCTGGTAAAAATGGGATTAACAAAAGTAAACCAAGTTAAAAATCAAGTCGTTTTCTACGTAATTTTCCTTAGCATGATTTAAAAGAGCAGTTATAAAATTTTTCCCTATCTGTAATAAATGCCTGCTTGCTTACATATTTAGTGTTTGAACCATGTCTACAAAAATGTAAACTCCATGATTTCTGTCCATTTAGTTCACAGATGTATGCCAAGTACTTAGAGTAATGTTTGGTACTTAGTGGTACTAGTGAATTTTTTAAAATAAATGAGTAAGTAAATTAGTGACTGAAGGATATGATACATGACATACTAGTATGACAAATGACACAGAATCTGAGCACATCAGCTTCAACTGCATTTTATGTCCCACTTAAGAAAGTAAATCTGAATGTAAAAAGTGAGACAGACAGGCCCGGCCGGGCCTGGCTGAACAGTTGAGCGTCGGCCTAGGATCCAGGAGATCGAGGTTTGATTCTGGGTCAGGGCACATGCCCGAGTTGTGGGCTCGATCCCCAGTTGGGGATGTGCAGGAGGCAGCCAATCAATGACTCTCTCATCATTGATGTTTCTATCTCTCTCTCCCTCTCCCTTCCTCAATCTGAAATCAAAGGAGAAAAAAAAAGGTGAGACAGTGCTATTTTATAGGGAAAACAGTTCAAAAATAAAATCATAAACTTTAGGATTGATTTTTGTCAACATAAATCTTGCCAAGATTCCCTTTAAATGACTAAAATACACTAGCCTAAAAGGCCATAAGATCAATAGTCTTATGGTTACCTTTTAACTATGAGAAAGGAATTTCTCTTTACTTTGTCTTATTTTCCTCATCTAAAAGATTCACTTTGCAAAGACAATAGGAAGACTGAAGTAAGTATGTATAGCTTTTGATATGAAAGCCACTCAATTTATTTGTGGAACAATTTATTAGTGAAAATATTTCAATATTAACTATATGAGCTAATTTCTGACTATAATTTATGTATTAGTGTTGTTGAGATTTCTTTAGAGTAGATTGTTTTTAAGTTTTAATTCATTCCTGTTTGAGATTTACATACTGCAGAATATTAAATGGATTGAAATGTGTCAGGCTTCCTTCCACAAATTTATTTAATTAGTGATACCACTTTTCTTAAGGTAGTACATATTTCAAGGGCTCATTTATTTTGGTATTTATAGAGATTCTTTGGGTTTATCTGATCAATGTCTCTATAACAAAAAACATATGTAATTTTTCAAAGTGATTTCTTGAATCTGGAAGCTACAATACATCATCACGAAGATCAGGAGCTTTAATGGAGTTACTTAAATGAAATTAATATATATAAAAGCATTTACTATAATATTTGACATATAAGAGGTGCTCAACAAAAGTAATTCTATCTTTCTTTTGAATTTTACTTAATGACTTTGGGGGGGGCGGGGAAGAGAGAGAAACATTGATTTGTTGTTCCACTTATTTATGCATTCATTGACTGATTCTTGTATGTGCCCTGACCAGGGATTGAACCCCCAATCTTGGTGAATCAAGACAACACTCTAACCAACTGAGCTACCTGGCCAGGGCAAAAGTAATTCTATCTTAATGCTGACAAGATAGAGAGATTAAAAATATAGGTGCTAGAATCAGCAAAGCCTAGAGTATTGGTTCTGCTACATCATAACTAGATAACCTCACTGACCTTCAATTTCTTTATCTGTAAAATGGAGATAATAAATATTACTTCTCCCACAGAATATTGGGAAATACTTAAAATAACCTACAGGAAGCATATTGCACACAAATAGCAAACTGTTATTATGCCATATGTTAATGCTGTTACATTATTTTACAGACCCAATTATAACATTTTATATAATTTATTTACCACGTATTATTGTAGGCAGCTTCTAAAATGGCTGCCAATAATCCCTGTATACTGTATTCAAATCCTTATGTAATCTCCTCCCCCTGAGTGTGGGCTGGACCTTAGTGATTTGCTTCTCAAATAGAATTCAGTGATAGGATTTCACTTCTGAGAAAAGGTTACAAAAGACTAAAACTTCACATTCTCTCTGCAGATTCACTCTGATGATATAAGCTACCACACTGAGAATTCTATACCTAGAGAAAGTAATCTTTCAAAAATAGATTTTTTTCCAGGGGAAAAAAAGTTGAAAAACATTCTGTGCCAGAAAAACTGCACTATAAAAAATATACAGCATGGTCCTTATCAGTATTTATAATGGAAAGTACCTAGAACAAATCCACCATGTATTTTACCTAATTTTATACAAAACCATGATTCGTTCACACATTCATTCAAAAAATAACTTATTGAGTCCCTATTACATAAAAAACACTGTCGTAGGCACTGGGAGTTGTAGCAATGAACAAGACAGACAAAAATCTCTTCCCTCAAGACATAGGTAATATTCTAGTGCATTCTAATTGCAAAGGGGATTAATGCCATTGAATTAACTCCCAAAAAGCCTCTGCTTGCAGCATCTAACATGCTGACTGATACAGCACCATTTATAATACTATTAAATTGACTGTTCTTATAGAAAATGACCAATATCTATGCCACTTTCTTTTTCTCATCTGAGGATATGTTTTTACTGATTTTAGAGAGGGAGTGAGAGAGAGAAAGAAAGCGAAACACCAATGTGAGAGAGAAACATCAATCAGTTTCTTCCCTTTTGCACCCCAACCGGGGATCAAACTTGCAACCTAGGTATGTGCCCTGACCAGGAATCGAACTCACAACCTTTTCGTGTATGGGCAACACTCCAACCAGCTGAGCCACCCAGCCAGGACAAAAGCCACTGACTATGTGAAAATGATATTTCCAAAAATCACATTCAAGTGGCTTTCACTTTTTTAAGTCCAAAAGATAAGTATGTGACAATATGCTATAGAACCAAATGACTGAGTATGGCCTGTTCTGCTATAAACTGTGTTCATAAGAGGGTTGTCCTCTAAACTCCAAAATAATTCAGCACTAATATAACTAATATAAATATGCATATCCTATGTAAAGGCAATATGGCATTATGTATCAAATATTTACAAATACCCTACTCCATTAGCAGGAATGTTTACTAAAATGCATTTTAATATGTGAACAAAATGAATTTATGAGGCTATTCATTACAACATTGTCTGCAATAGCTCCAAAGTGGAAAAATAATAATAATAATTGCCCATCAATAGAAATATGTAGAATAAGCTATAAATTACTTTTCCAAAAATGCATTATTTTTACTCTGATGCCCAAAAGGAAGAAAATGTGAACCATAACCAAGAAGAAAAGCAGTCATTTTAAAATATACCTAGTAGACAGAGATGATGATAGCCAACAAGGACACTAAAACAACTACTAAAAATATGTGCCAGGTTTTAAATTTAAAAATAAATACGTTGAAGAAAAATACAAACTATAACAAAAAAATCTGAAAAGAATTTAAATTCTCTGGAAAGGAATACAAGTAGATATTGCAGAGGAAAAGTTAAGTGAACTTGAAGATGGAAGAAAATATCCTAATCACAAGAAAACAAATTTGTAATTATGAATGGGGTCAGATGTTAACTAGACTTATTACAGTGATCATTTCACAATATATGTAAATGTTGAATCATTATGTTGTTTACCTGAAACTAATACAATGTTATATGTCAGTTAAAAAAATTATCCAAAGAGAAAATTATCTAGAAGTAAAACATCTGAGTTTTGATAAAAAAAAAAAAATTTTAAAGCAGCCACTGTTTACAGCACTTATCTTCAGA